CAGGGGTTTGGCTCGGTGGTCCGTGTTTAGCCTAAGGCTGTAATGAGGTCAGGAGCTGAGTGGCTCTGGCAGAACCCAAACTGGGCGTCACTGAGCAGGTTATTGCTGAGCTAGTGCTACTTTGATAGCACTGTTGATGACACCTTCCATCACTTTACTGATGATCGACAGTAGACTGATGGGGCGGTAATTGGCCAGGTTGGATTTGTCCTGCTTTTTATGTACAGGACAGACCTGGGAAATTTTCCACATTGTCGGATAAATGTCAGTATTGTAACTGTACTGGAACAGCTTGGCTAGGGGAGCAGCAAGTTCTGGAGCACAAGCCTTCGGTACTATTGCCGGAATGTTGTAAGGGCCTATAACTTTTGCAGCATCCAGTGTCTCCAATCGTTTCTTGATATCATGTGGAGTGAATCGAATTGGCTGAAGACTCATATCCAAAATGCTGGGGAACATTGGATGAGGCCAAAATGGATCATCTACTCAGCCCGACTGACTGAAGATGGCTGAAGCTTGAGGTGGTATCAATCCATTCACCAATATCAGAGAAAGGGAACTGGGCTGAGTGGATCTGGAATATTGAAAGTTTTACATATCCTGCAAAAAGATATACATAACTAGTAGCCATAGAAGGACCCATAACAATTTTTTTATTTGGAGAAAGTAAGTGGGATTGAAAGTTGTTCAGAGTGAGAATAAAGTGTATCCATTTACATTCTTTATGCCCGTTGTATCATGAAATCTTTTGTTAGTTAATCTCCACCCCCTCCATCCTACCGTGGAGCTCCTTGTGTGTTCTTCCTGCCCACTCTTTGCTTTCCATATACTTAAAAACTTTGACATTTCTATTTCAATTCAGTTCAGATGAAAAGTCATTAATCAGAAACATTAACTCAGTTCCTTTTCACACATACTACTTGACCTGTTGAGTCTTTCCAGTATTTTTGTTATTCCAGGTTTCCAGTATAGCAGTATTTTGTTTCTCTTTTCAGTACTAATGCTGGAATGTTGTCGGGGCCCATAGGTCTTGCAGTACCCAGCGTCTCCAACCATTTCTTGACATGATGTGGTGAATCAAATTGGCTGAAGACCGGTATCTGTGATGCTGGGGTCCATTGCAAGAGGCCAAGATGGATCATCCACTCGGCAGTTCTGAATGAAGATTGTTGCAAATATTTCAGCTTTTGTGATGTGCTGGGCTCCCTCATCATTGAGGATGGGGATATTTGTGGGGTCTCCTCCTCCAGTGAGTTGTTTAAGTATCTACCATCGTTCACAACTGGATATGGCAGGACTGCAGAGCTCAAATCAGATCTGTTGGCTGTGGGATCACTTAGGTCTGTCTATTACTTGCTGCTTCTGCTGTTTAATATGTAAGTAATCCTGTGTCGTAGCTTCAGCAGGTCATTTTTAGGTATACCCAATGCTGTTGCTCCTGGAAAAGCTGGTGCTACCAGTAGGTCCTTGGCTAGGGTGGCATGATTTTTGGTGGGGTTGTGGTGTTGGGGGTGCTTGGGGAGGAGGGACACTGGCAAGAAACAACTGCCTTTTTAAAAAAATTGGAACTAAAACTTAACATTAATCAAAGGGAAAGTCTAACTCTCATCAATGTCAGGCATCGTCACATAGTGCATCACATCCTGTCCACTGTCACACAATTATATTCAAGCTTTCCTTTTATTATTTTGCAGGATCTCTGGCTGGACCAGCATTTGTTGCCCATCATCAGTTGCCCCTTGAGAAGGTGGTGGTGAGCTGCCTGCTCCAGCCATTACAGTCCACGTAGTGCAGAGGCACCCATGGTGCTGTAGGAAGGAAGCTCCAGGATTTTGACCCAGTGACACTGAAAGAATTGCAATATATTTCCAAAGCAGGGTGGTGTGGGGCCTGGAGGGAAAGCTGCAAGTATGATGTTCTCTGAAATGGAAGTTAAATCAATTTGCTGTGATTTTTGGAAGGTTGTGATAGGTTTGGTTTAAATGTTTAAATTTCACTGAGGGATCAAGCACAAGCAGTGAGTGTTGTTTTGACTGATGTGCGTAAGCAAAGGTTCAGGCTCTTCATTTCCAATCCGGGCAATGATTTGTTTTGAAGGTTTACCGTAAACGTTCTCACCTTATGTCTATCGATGACTGACTGGAGGTTAACCAGCAGAGTGTTGACTCCATTCATTGCTCAGGTGTAATCACACAGCAGGGGCCTGAGATCTCAGTGTGGAAGCAACAATTCCCCACATTAACCTGCTCCCTAATCCCATTCCCCGAGTACCTGCTTCTCTTTAGAAGCCACTCTCACCTGACTACTGACTCTCAGTGACATCATTTCAAACCTGAGATGAAAGCATTGAGTGCTGAAGAAATGTAACAGGTTTGGCAGCCCCTCTGGGGAGATATGACTCTTGTCCAGAGCACATCTGACTTGAAATATTAATTCTGTTTCTCTCTCTGCCAGACCTGATGAGTTTCTTCAGCATTTTCTCTTTGTAGATTTCCAGCATCTGGAGGGTTCTGCTTTTTAATATCCTGGGACATGGTGATTGAGGAAGCAGGCATCAGGGTGAATATTTGTCTTGGGTGGCAAATATCTTTGCGCTGGTCCAGACTATTGTTGTGTGCTCCTGTGCTTCTCAATAAACCAGGATTGATCCCCTGGCTTGATGTTAGCGGTAGAATGACAGATACACTGGTCCATGAGGTTATGGTTCTGGTTGAATACAAGCCCCTCAAAGCCACACTCCATTCTGTCTCGGAACTATATCCACATTCCTTCAGTGTTGCTGGATCAAGGGCCTAATGATGACCATGAATTCATCATTGATTGTTGGAAAAACCCATCTGGTTCTTTTACAGAAAGAAATCCACCACCTTTACCTGGTCTGGCCTACATGTGACTCCAGACCCACAGTAATGTGGTTGACTCTGAACTACCCTATGGGCAATAAATGCTGGCCAACAACACCCTCATCCTGTGAATGAAAACAAAATGTTCTGGTGAATCTCCTCTGCACCCTCCCCAGAGCACTCACAATCTATCTAATGTGGAACTAGAACTGCACACAATACTCTAGATGTGGCCTGACCAACATCTCATACAACTCCATCGTACCTTCCCAGCTCATTCACTGGATGAGGGCATTGCTGACCAGGCAGCATTTATTGCCCACCCTTAATTGCCCGGAAGGCAGTTCAGAATCAACCATATTGCTGTGGGTCCAGAGTCATTTGTAGGCCAGACCAGGTAAGGATGGCAGTTTCCTTCCCTAAAAGACATTAATGAACCAGATGGGTCTTCCAACAATTGACGATGGTCATCATTAGATTCTTAATTCCAGTTATTTATTGAATTCAAATTCCACCATGTGCCATGACGGGATTCAAACCCAGGTCCCCAGAACATTATCTGGGCCCTTGAATTAACAGTCCAGCAGTAATACCACTAGGCCATTGCCTCCTTATGTAATGAAAGATGAAGGGGTTTGCCTTGTAAGGAAAGATTGGACAGTTTGGGCTTATGTCTATTGAATGGGGCTAAAGGCTGTTAAGTCCCTTGGCCCTGATGGCTTGCATCCTACGATCCTAAAAGTGGTAACTCCAGAGATAATGTATGCATTGGTTATAATTTTCCAAAAATTGTTGGATTCTGGAAAAGTATCAGAGGATTGGAGAATTGCTAATGTGACACCTCTATTCAAAAAGGGAAGGAGGCATAAAGCAGTTAACTATAGGCCAATTAGCCTAACATATATTGTTGGAAAAGTATTGGAATCAATTATTAAGGGAGTAATAGCAACACATTTGGAAATCACAATCTATTCAGCAGAGTTAGCATAGTACCATGAAAGGGAAATCATGTCTGACTAATTTTTTAGAGTCTTTCGAGGAAGTCCCAAGCAAAGTGGTTTGAGGGGAACCAGTAGATGTGTAATATTTGGACTTTCAGAAGGCATTCGATAAGATATCCGACAAATGGCTAAGTCATAAGAGCCCACCATGTTGCAGGTGGTATACTGGCATGGATAAAGAATTGGCTAATGGGCAGAAACAGTGAGTGAGGATAAGGCGTTCTTTTTCAGGTTGGCAACCCATGACAAATGGGCTTCCACGGGACCAATGCTGGGACCACAACTGTATACATTATATATATTAATAACTGGGAGGAAGGAAGTGAGTATACTTCAGCCAAATTTTTAGATGACATAAAAGTAGGTGGAAAGGCAGATTGCCGAGGGATACAGACAGTTTACAGAGAGATACTGATAGGTTAAGGAAGTGGGCAGAAGGTTAGCAAATGGAGTATAGTGTGGGAAACTGTGAAGTTGTTCATTTTGGAAAGGAGAACAAAAGAACAGAATAGAAAGCTGCAGTACAAACATCATGTGGATACTAGTGTATGAAACACAGAAAGCTAGCACGCAGGTGCAGCAGGTAATCAGGAACGCTAATGGAATGTTGGCCCTTATTCCGAGGAGGTTGGAGTATAACAATAGGGAAGTCTTACTGAAACTGTACAAGTGCTGGTGAGACCACTTCTAAAGTATTTTTGGACCCCTTATTTAAGGAAAGATAGTAATTCATTGAAGGCAGTTCACAGAAAGGTTCAGTCAGATGATCCCAACT